AAAAGAAAAGAAAGGAAAAAAATCCCAAATGGCTATTCTTTGTTTGGATGCATAAGTAGTATTATATGGTTAAATAACCTGGTTTTACCAATACTTTATTTCATTGCTATTCTATTTTTTAAATTCTGTTCCAAAAAATTAACCAAAACATAGTCAAACATGTTTATGCTTAAATGTCTATGTTTTAAAGTGGGCCTTTTGTCGTAAGAAGAAAAATTCGATTATATTTTAGCATGTTGACACATTGAAAATTTAGAAGCATGTTATTCATTCTATACTGGAAGTTCACATAAGATAGAATTCTTATTAAATTATTAGGTTGAACCATGTGAAACCATTGATATTCAACTGTTTTTAATCTGCAAAATGTTCTTTCAAATGGTTCTAACTCTAGAATCTCTGCTGGTGAGGCATCACTGAGAGGACTCAGCACACAGTTCATATATGTCAAAAGAGGACAATAGTTAACCCTTGCTGGAATTTTGAAATATGACTCCACCTCTTACTAGTTTGGTTGCCCCTTAGGTAAATATATTATGTAACCCATGCCTTTATGTGTCTATTTATTCATCTACAAAATGAGAATAATAGAGTACCCAACTCAAATATTTTTTTAGTAATTATATAAGTTAATATATACAAAGAGCTAAAAGTAGTGGTTGGTACTTATCAATATGACTGTTGACAAATGTTCAATCATCTTTGCTTTTCTAATAATAACGATTATAATTATTTTTTAAAAAATATAAAGTATATAGTTACCTGAGATGCTTGCGATTGTGATGTTTTTTATGCTAAGGCACCTTGAGTTGCAGCAACAAGTTTGGGGCCCTGAATACAAAGAAATGACAGATGTTGGGAAAATATTAGCATTTTCATAGAGTACAAAAAAAAATAGCAGGTTATATAAAAATAGGTGATATACAGCGAWTGTACCTGCATCATCCCTTTAATTCATATTAAACTACCAGGATCTCTACAAGGAAGTTCACCAACAATCACCCTCCCCAAGAAAATAAGAATATATCTATTGTCAGGGTATAGGGGTGACTATTAAATGATTTAGACATTTAAATGTCCATTCCCACCTGAACTAACTTGTAAAATTCAGCCAAATGAGAAGATAGCAATTTGGGGGAAAATGTTTAAATTAATGCTTTGTTTTCCTGACCAAAACATTTTAGGCCTTATAAATATGTCTATCTATTCATACCGATTACAAATTTGGAACAGAAGAGACATTACAAAAATTTAATAGTAGGCCACGGTGCAGCAGGAGATAAAACCAAGAACTACTAAACTCATTTTGTAAGACAATTATTCATAGAATAAGACCTCTGCTCCACGCATCTTTCAAAACCTAAATCCCTGACCTCTGACCTGACCAAATGCACAAAAATGAAAGTTGGAAATATTAAAATGAAAGCATCTCCAGCACCTCCTCGGAGAAGCAGGCCTCCTTGTCGTCAGCCTTGCAGCACTTGTCCAGAAAAGCTACAAAATCCCCCATCACGGTTTTCAGTTGATCCATTGTTGCTGTGGGCTTGTGTTTCACCAGCTCAGCAAGTGCTCTGCATTTGAACAGAAAATGAAAGACACAGCAAGAAAAACTTAAGAATATAAGAAATATGAAAGATATAAGAATGGCACTTAACATTATAAACCTTGCAGGGCACTGTGGTGCACACCTGTAATCCCAGCAGCTCAGGAGGTTGAGGCAGGAGGATCACAAAGTCAAAGCCAGCCTCACCAACTTGGGGGAGGCACTTACCAACTCAGCGAGACCATGTCTCTAAATAAAACATAAAATAGAGCTGAGGATGTGGCTCAGTGGTTGTGCATCCCTGGGTTCAATACTTGGTACCAAAACAAACAAACAAAAGATTATAAATCTTGGAGCCARGCAGTTCGGGGCTTGAGGCCAGGCATGCCATTCTAACTTCATATGAGATTAATAAAATCCACTTCACTAGGGCTGGTGGGAGAATCAGATAAGATAATCAGTGCAAATCACTCAGTGTCTTAGAATTTCAGTAGATCTCCAGAAAGTGTGTGTCATGGCATTTAGATGTTGTTTAGATTTTATGAGCTATGCCTCATTGACTTTATAGCTCTTGAATGGTTTAAAATGATCTCTAAATTTTTAATGACCTTGAACTTCATTGAAAAATCCTCTTATTTAGGAATCTTTAAARTTGGTCTGTCACTTTTGCCCTATTCAAATTTAATTAAAGGGAGGTTAYAGGAGTTAAGACTTCCAAACAAGTGGAAGGTAGTGTTTCCCTTTCATTGACAAATGAAAAGACAACAGTGTGTTGTGTGGGAATAATAGGTTTTATAATATTAGTTTTAAGTCTCTATCATGACCATGGGTGACCAGAGATCACAGCAACTTTCTGTTGCTAAAGTTCATGCTATTCTCACCCTTTCTGACAGCATTGAGGAGTTAAGCCTCAAAACTCACATTTCTAGATGTTTTCTATTCAATTGTCATTCTCAAATGTCACATCACAGGGTTTTCTCTCACCTGTGGGGTCACTCTAGAACAAACTTAAAGTACCATTTATGCCTAAAAATAAATCTCCCTATGATTTCTACAACTAGTTTTCTTCTAGCCACAAATTTATCAGTTAAATGTTAAGCCTTTTCTACTGGACCTAGCCTATAATCTTATTCTACTGGGGTGTTCATCCACAATATCACTATGAATAGTTGCAGGGAAGAATCTAATATAGTTTTTGCCCTCCAAGGGAAAAAAAGCCATTCATTTTATTCTTGACAATTTTATCAACTTAATAAGGCCAATACTTAAGTACTATCCTCCAAGGAATATAATCAGTACATGAGAGGGTTTACTCCTTTGAATTAACAGTTCTCTTTATCAAAACTACAAACATGTGATAATGAAATACTGCTCACGTTTGTTTCTTGATTTGTTGCTCAGTCTCTGGAAGTGTGCATATGTCTGCATGGAAGGTGAATGTGTCAGCATGGAATTCTTTGGGAACATATGTGTCATCAACTGATAGAGCAGCAAAGCATGCTCTCTTGTTCACAAAGGACTCAGAGCAGCACTTGGTGACTCTCTCACTCACTGGATTCTTCTCATGCATCACACACACTGAGTTCAGGATTGCAGTCAGCTGAAGAACAGGAAGGAGAGCAGAAATTCAAAAGAGGCAAAAAGTCCACGAACACTCTTTTTCCCACGCACCCAAAGTTGTGACATATTAAACTAGTAACAATGAATCCAAACTTGACTGAGGCAGCAAAAGACTATCTTTGGAACTAAACTCAAGGGACTCTTTAACATTGGCTCTTTTAAAAGTAAATCTAGATGTCTCAATATTCTTAATACTAGAGATGATTCACAAAAATAATTGAAGGTGATATGCCCTAACATATGTGTTAGATTGAGAAAGAAGTAGTCTTCTATTGGCACATGAAAGAGAGAACCCCAAAATGTAAATATTTAGGAAATTCCAGACACTGAATATTCATGGATCCTTTTTAAAAACAAGCTATAACTTTGAGATCTTATCTAAATTCTAACTTTGGTAGTCAAGAAAATATAGGTGACCAAGTTCTGCCCACACACAAAAATACATAGACACAGATATACCCCTGCTAGTCATGTACACACGTTAGTCCACTCCTGCCTCTAAAAGTTAGCTTTGTCAATTTCATAAGATGACAATTCAGTATTAAAATTATTATATTTTAAAAGACTCACATAGTCTTCAACACAGGGTAGTCTGTGTGATTCAGGAAGCTTACAGCACTGGGTGGCCACTTTTCCTAAGTTTCTTGAAGCCTCCACAAGAGTTGGAGTTGACATCTGGGGTGCTTTCTGAGTATGATGAATTACAAGGCTGTTGAGAAAAAATAAATAAAAATAAAAAGTCCATGTGTGTTTAGCCAAATAATAAACCGTCTTTTTCTAATACAGTATATTAAGCAGAGAAAATTCAAACAAAGTTAAAATCAACTAATATGCTCTTGTTTGCCATTCATAGAATTATGTTTATCCCCAGTACCTGCTACCAAAAATTACCTTCATCTTCAGAATGATGGCTTAGTGTCAGAAAAAGACTCGGTCCTGTCCAATCATTAAACATGGCTTTGAACATCACCTGCACAATATAATCTCAGGAAGGTTAGCTACCTTATTACAATCCAGTGGCATTAGTATACTTATTATTGCATCTTTGGTTCGTTCATTAAATTCTTTTGAGAGTGTAACATAAACCAGGACTATGATAAATTTGAAAGAGGTAGGTGAAAAATGGGAGGAAATATCCCTGCCTCAGTAAGAATGGTGCAAGGATTAAATTGAAAGTGATAATACAGGCAATGAACAAGGCATGTTATCCAGCATGTAAGAATCACTTATAAAGAATCCCAATCACCACGTAAAGTCAATGTAAGACTGTAATCTACTTGATGAAAGAATCTATATATTATTCACTATTGTTAGCCCTGMGCTATAGTTACAAGAGTGCTAACGATGTATATAAACTGCACAATAAATTCCTACTGAACCATGTGTCCCTTTCTTCTTTCTTGACTTTTCCACCATACATAAGGGCCTATTAAATGTAGACCTTACTTCAGCATGAACTTTTGTCTCTATCTCTTCTGGGAAGGAAATTCCACAGGAAAACAAGGTCATGACCATCAAAGTCTAGAGTATCTTCTGAACATCCACTCTTCCCACCAATGGACCAATAGGAATGCAATTTCCCATATTAGCTAAGTCCATATTGTCTTTTTTTTTGTGTTCAGCTTTTATATTACTTCTTGAACTACTGCTATTCAAGGCCTACTACTTCCTGCTCTGTAAAATGCTGCTAGGGTTCATTTACTCACATAAATTATTGATGAGCCAATATTTGTCACTAACCCTCCCAGCCTACATACTCCCAGTCTCAAGAGATTATTTTTTAAAACTGTACATAAATAGAGGCCTCTGCATCCCATCAACTATATTTTCTCTACTCTCCAGACTTTCTTGATAAAGAGAGTTTAGAAATATATGTGTATCTTTGCTATTAAAAGTCATATGCTAGGCAGCCTATATATGAAGTATTAAATAATAGCAAATTGGTCAAGGAAAAAAGTCAGTGAAYAAACAAAACTACTTACACATTTTGGAATTTATATTCCCCAATCTGTTCATAGAGATCACAGTTTTGCTTGACTGCATTCTGAGGCTCAGTCACAAGAGGCTCAAATTCCTCAAACTGGAACATAAAAGACTCCATTTATATATCCTTCTGAGGACCAGATGCTGGTCACTTTTTACCCCTTCCTTCTTTCTGCCCAAAACCACATGAGTAGATGTTCAGTGCCACATCTGTCACATCACATCAAATTGTTTCTCTTATTTAACAAGACTGTATAGTGAATGTAGTTAAGAATCTTCAGTCTCTGGAGTTCAGTGGCTGGCTTTGGAGCCSGGCCACCTGACTCTTTTTCCAGAGGTGCAGCTTTCTTACCAGTTCTGAGATTCAGAATCCTCATCTTCACAATAGAGGTAAAAATAGTGCTCACCACCCTGAATTGCTCTGGGAATCAACTAAGCTAATGAAATTAAAATAGCACCTAGTCCATAGTAAAAGGTCAATAAATGCTGGTTCTGAGTATTATTATTACTATTATTATTATTAGGCCATCTCTCGAGTTGGATCCTCAGTTCTGAGGAATGTTGTTCTCAGCATCAGTTGCAGGACGGTGCGTGACATACAGCAGCTTCTTGGTAGAGGAAAGAAAGTCTTTCTCTAATTCTATAACAGTTTGGAAACCTTTAATATATACTAGTAGGCACCCTAAAATCCTCCAGAACAGGTGTATTCTAACTTACCATCTTGTAAAACATTTCCTAAACCTTCTCAAAAAGATTTTAAAATAATCTAAAGAAATAAGTTTCATAACCTCCCTAAAGATATTACCTCTAATACTTGATATAAACTTGGATCAGCTTAACTTTCTTGATATCTAAGTTAAATCTCTCTTAATTGACATTTAAATTTACCTGACCTTATTTGGTTCTCAGGAATATTGAAAACAAAGAAAGGATGGCCAAGATTTTGTGAAATTAGAGATTACTGTCTTCATATCTTTCTTTTCTAGACCAACTGTTCTAAAATTTATTAAGCATTCTCCTTAAGGCTATTTTCCTAAAATGTTTAAGAGCACAGAATTGAATCCATCTCAAGAAAATATCTAAAAATTGTACTGTGTATCATTTCAGTCCTGCGTTGTTTTTCTTTCTCATTATTAGAATCAGCAAAGAGCTGTATTCTTCTTTCCCTGCAGGACACCTACCACTTTGCCATAGCATGCAGGAGGATCAGCTTCAGCACAGCACTTCTCCAGTTTGGCTTCATATGCCTTGGCAATTCTCAGCAGCAAGAGGGAACCATACTCAGGGTGCCTTCTTGAATATTCATACAAAAACCTAAGTAAGAGGAACATAGATTTAGTTGAACCAATGAGCAAKAATGTGTACATAACTCACTCCAAGTGTGACTCATATTCCCAAGGTCTGAATTCCACTAAACCCCATGCAGTGAAGCTTAGTGGCAAAGGACTTGGGTTCCTTCTTGAGCTCAATTTCTGATTCTGCCAATTATTGTACTCTCTTACATTTGGCAACTTATTAAAACTAAAAATCCTTAGTTTCCTCCTCTGTATATTGCGAATGATAATAATATTCAGCTCATATGTTGGGTTATGAGATATACATGACACAATGTGTCTAAAACATATACTGATATCTTAAATATTTCATGAATCATATCTGCCACTTTTTATGCATATGTAGTTTGATTTGGATTATATCTCAAAAGTATTGTACTAGACAGATATGTTCTTAAAATTTTCTTTTTTCATTTTAAATTATTGGAATTTTTATGATATTATTTAGTGGAAAGGAAGCTATTGCAATCTAACAATAAAATTGTAAAACTTGTCATCATTCTTATTGATCATATATCATCATTTATCATCATTTTTACTTAACTGCCTTGCTGTACTACTGAACTTTTAGCCTTTTCATTCAAGTATGAAACACTTAATGTCAAATTCTATACTTTGTTTTATGCTTCCTGTCAACACAAAGATGCACATATAGATAGATAGGTTAAGATGATTAATAGGCAATATATATGTTCGTATATATTTTAGATATTTAAGAAGTACCCTATTCATGAATGACTGAACAAGTAAATGTTATGTACATAATTAATATACATGCAAATATTTCTAGAGATGTCCCTAAGGAGTAAGGAACATTGAGCTTTTACTATGAATATATACTGAATGACAATGTTTGAAATTAATTAATTGTTTCAACCTTTAAAGACTGGGAGACARTGGGTCAAAGAAGCATCCCAGGCAACATCGAAACTGTAGTAACTCCAAAGGAAAGCCTAGCATATATTCCTAAATCATGATCTTGATAAATCAAGCGCTATGAAAATGTAATTCCTTATCTAACTTACGTGCCCAAAAAGATATCTTTTGCCTCAGCATAGTTTTTGCAAACATCCTTAGCCTCAGCATAATCAGCTGTTAGTGCTGGTAAGTCAGCAAGCTTGTCATCCAATTCCAGGTCAATGATGCAGTAGTATCTTTCCAACAGGGGCTTAACACAACATTCTCCCACTTTCTTGGAGATTGTATCTTGATTATCACAAATGTAATTGGCAAGGGTTACCTGTGAGGAGGTCATCAATTGTTCAACATAAATTAGCTACACTTTSTCTTCAGATATTTGTGATGTTGTTGAACATGTTCACTGTATTCCAAGGCTGTTCATTCAYAACTACTGTGCCTCCTATGAACACACATCCTCTGTCAGTACTTCTGAGGCTCTAGGCTACTAAAACACAYCTACTTGATCAAAATACACTAGTTAGGAACCAGTTATMATTTATTAGTTTATCATAATTAATTAATTAATCTTAGCTATTTGTCTATTTTATATTTCCACTGTAGAGGCAGGTAATTTTTTAAAATGAAAATTCAAGTCTATTTTTTCAATATTTCCCTCAAAATAAATGCAGACATTTTGAAAC